TCTCTCACTCTTAACGATTGATTGTGTATGGCTTGCTCAGCTGCGTCAACTCTGCATCCCGCGCGTGCTTGCGTGCACAGGTCTTGCACGTGGCAATGCGTTGCGAACAGGCCACCTAGTTTAAGATGCCACTTGTCCAGAAAGATTCCCGTACGCGGCATTGCAATACGACACGCGTTTGGACGTCTAGCACGTTTCGCTCAAGGCCCAACCACAAAATTTACAATTGGCTGCGATCCTCATGCCAAGCACGCTTTCCTGGTCTGGCCAGCTAAGATCATTATGGTGCGTTTGCGTGGTCTGCAACGCTCGCTCGGACTGCCCACGTAGCCTAAGCATAATGTCCAGCTGGCTGTCTCAAACCCCGTCAACGCGCCAGCGCAGAATACGGTGGGGGGGGCGCCGGTTGAGGAACGTGCCTACGAGGCTTCCGACCCTGGAGGGCTGCGTGTCTGATGAGGGCGGCGGTGACGTCCCATGGCCAATCCAGGATCGGAGTTCCATAGGCGTCCAGACACTGGACTCCTGGTCCAATGGTTACAGTGAAAGCCCATGCCAAGAAACACCCTGCTTGCCTCCAGGGTGCCCTGGGTTTCTTGGGTCTCGATGGTTTTGCGATGGAAAGCGTAGCATTCCCACACCAAAAATCAGTGGACGTCCTGGGGTCTCAGGGTTGGCTTTCTTGTGGAAGGTTTCTTGATCCAGTGCCCTCACCGCAGATGGGTCCCCTGAATCCCGAGGCGTCTCGCCCCGACGCTCGAGCACCGCGGGGGGTGAGCCAGCCAGGAGGCTTCTCCGGGTACCCAGGTGGAGGGCGAGAGTTCCACCTGGGCACCTGGCGACAAGGCACACACACACATATTTTTTGCGTCGGCGGCTGGGCAGAGTCACTGCGCTGACGATAGCGGCGTCGGTGGGACGCACAGAACGCGCATTAGGCCACCATGCAGGAGAGTAGGGAGGAGGCGCCCGGCGGCGGCGAGAGGGAGGGAGAAGCCGGGCCTGCTCAGAGCAGTGCAGGGCCAGGCGCGTAGCAGAAGCGGCGCCGGGGGGGACCAGCGGCGGCGGGCCGGCGGCCGGGGTGAGGGGTGCGCCAGGACCAGCCGCGGAGCAGCGAGCCGAAGCGGGGAGCCAGTGCCCAGCGAGGGCTGGTGAAGAAGGTCAAAGCGACAGAAGCCCCGAGCCCACGTGGGACCAGGGGTACGTGCGCGGGGCACGTGTGGGCTGCCGAAGCAGCAGACGGCCGAGGCGGTGCAGTGCGAAACCTCCTCCAGGTGAGGGGTGTGGGCCTGAAACGAGGCAAGGCAGGGGGCAGGGGCGCGGGCGGCAAGACCAGCCTGGGGCCCCGAGGCGAGCGGAGCGCGGCCGGAGGGCCGGGAGGCAGGCCTGGCGAGCGGGCGAGGGCCGCCGGGGAGCGAGGGACACCGAACTGGTGCACTGTCAGCGAGAGTGCCCCCGAGAGGCGGGGGGGGGGCAGGCAGCGGGGCGAGAGCGGGGAGAAGCTGCAAAGAGGGCAGTGCCCCAGCCAGGGGCCGAGGCGCCAGCGATGCGGGAGGCGCAGGGGGCGAAGGCCCGGCCCACGGAGGGCGCCGAGAAGGGCGTGGACCGCCCCAGCAAGAGACGGGCGGGCGCCAGGGCGCAACGGGCCAGCCGGGCCACCGCCAGGCAGGCGGAGGCAAGCGGCAGCCGGGGGCCGCGTGACAGGTGGGCAGAGGGGCGGAGGGCGTCCGCCCCGAGTGGTGGGGGGCCAGCGCCCTGAGCGCCCAAGGAGGCACGGGCGGGGGCAGGGACGGTGGCAGCGATCTTCGACCTCGAATGCCATGAGTCCGTCGGGGGCAGGGGGAGGGCGGCACGCCAGGGCAGCGAGGCTCAGCGCAGCGCGCCCAGGGCGCGGGAGTGCCGAGCGAGGGGCGCCCGTTGGGACGTAACTCGTCGCCCTGCAGTGGCGGAGAGAAAAACCAGCACGACGTCCCGGGGGGACGCACGGCGGTGGAACGTAGGGGGGGGCACCGAACTGGTGCACTCGTCGGGTGAATGGGAGGTGGCTCGGCCCCAGGGGGGGGGGGCCGGGGGCGCGGGCCCTGGTGTGCAGGGCGCGGGGCCCGCGGGTGGGAGAGGGTGCAGCGCGGGCGCCAGGGGGGGGTACGGGGGAGCAGCGGCTCGGACCAAGGGTGTCGAGGCTGATGCTGCAGCGGAGGTTGGGGCCAGCCCCGAAGTCGCGGGGCTTGGTTGGGGTCAGTTCGGATCCTCGTAGTTAGTAGCGGGTGGAGCTCCTGGGGCGCCGCTGCCTGGAATGCCCGTTGCTAGGCCATGCTAGTTCAGCGCGGTGCTTGCCTTTCCCTGGAGGCCCTGCGCCTTTCCCTTTGCCCTTGCCGAGCCCAGAGAGGCGCTCCCTCTTCTGGATCTGCTTATCCCAGCAGGCTTGGTGCCAGTCGATCTTGAGGCCGTGTCTCCGGCACAGGTTGTGGGTGTCGAAGTCTTCGTCGATGAGCTGGGTTCCGAAATCTTCGCAGATCTGGTCCTTCCCTTCGGGGTCGTACGTGGCCCCTTGGCGCCCTGCTCTGTGATCACAGAGGGCATTCCACCCGATGACTAGCATGGGGCCACACTCCCGCTTGAGGCGGTTGACGACCTCGGGCCAGTTCTCCTCCCTTCTGGCAGTGTAGTACAGCGAATCGTGGGGGTTGGGGTGAAGAGTGTAGCGGGCAGGTAGGTGCGCCGTGCGGTGGGCGCGGTCGGGCAGGTAGGCCTGCCGCTCGCGCTCGTCGGAGGCTCCGGCTTCCCCTGCTGGTGCTGCGGGGGGAGGCCGGGGCGGGCGTGCTCCAAGGTCCGGGGGATCTTGCGCGCCGGTTCGTCGGGGGTCTCGGCAGGCGTGGGTCCTCCGTCTGATTGCTCCGCCTGCAAGGCCCGTCCCCCCTCTGGGCTGCTGTCCCGCCGAGCCGCCTCCGTGTGCAGCACGTCGCAGGGGCTGGGCGGCGCGGGCCCCCCGTCCTGGGGCGCGGGGCTTGCTGGTGGCGGCGAGTTCGCGGGAGGGCTTCAGTCCGGGGCCTCACTGCGGAGCGGGGTCGGGGGGGCAGGGGAGGCTTCGGAGGAGTCCGCAGGCAAGTGGTCGACGGTGTCGTTGTTGGCAGCTGCGCCCTGTTGGTCGGTGTGCGGGAGGGCAGTGCCTACAGGGGGTCCACCGGCCGTGCTGGATGCTGCTGCCGCCTGCTGGGTGCACCGTGGGGGGTTGTGGGCCCGAGCCGGGCGGGGGGGGGGCTGGTTTTGCTCCAGACCGCGGCCGGCCGCTGGGCAGCCACTGGGGGTCCTGCCTGCGCGCCCGTTGCACTCGGGCCAGGAGGTCCGCCTGTAGCGGGCCGGTTGCACGCGTCCATCCCTGGGGGGCGAGAGCCGATTTCGTTGTGGTTGGGCCGCTGCCGCCTCCCTCCCGTCCTCGGGTCGTATCCGACTAGCGGAGCAGCACGCATGTCGCGGATGTAAGCCGAGGAGGAGATCCCGACTGTACTTGCCGGGGTCACCTCCTTTGTCTTTTGCGTGCAGGTCGTGTTTCTGCCTGTAGGCGTCACACAGGACGGCCATCTTGTGGTCACTCCCAGAGGCGGGCTGGTATCTTTGGCTACGAAGGTAGCTGATGAGGTGGGCCAGTGTGGTGTGTTCCCCGTCCCACACAGTGCCCTCGGAGATCACCGACTCAGGACACATATATATATATATATAGACATATACATATATATATATATATACGTATACAAACAAAAAAGATTGGCGAAAACCCCAGCCATGTGCAGTTGTGGATACCGCAGTTGTGAGCATCGTATGCGGAGGAGCTCCCTATAGGGCCAGGAAGCGTGTGAGAGATGCGCCGAAATGGGGGTGGAACCGCATGCGAAGCCTGCCACTAGGGCCTTCGGCGGAGCTCCCTATGGGGCCACGAACCCTGTGAGGGGTGCGCCGCAATGAGGGTGGAACTGGATGCGAACGCTGCCTCTTGGGGCCTTCGGTGGAGCCCCCTATGGGGCCACGAACCGTGTCAGGGGTGCACCGAAATGAAGGTGGAACTGCATGCGAACCCTGCCACTGCGGCCTTCGGTGGAGCCCCCCATGGGGCCACGAACCGTGTGAGGTGTGCGCCGAAATTAGGGTGGAATTGCATTCGAATCTTGCCACTGCGACCTTCAGTAGAGCTCCCTATGGGACCACGAACCGTGTGAGGGGTGCGCCGAAATTCAGGGTGGAACTGCATGCGACCCTGCCACTTGGGGCCTTTGGTGGACCTCCCTATTGGGCCAGGAAGCGTGCGAGGGGTGTGCCGAATGGGAGGAGGGGGAGGAGGAGTGAGTGAGGAGTGGACGCGGGGCACTGTCTCTTCAAAACGAGGACCCAGCACCACAGGATGGTTGGAAAAAAAGGCGACACGGGAAGGGAGATGAGAATGGAGGGAGGAGAGAGCAGAAGGAACCAGGAGTCGGAGGAGACGGGAGAAGGGCCGCGGGGTGTGAGCCGGTCCTCGACGTTAGACGCGCGCACAGGAGGGAAGTGCATTGCACACGTCTCTTCCGCTTGTGAGTTTTGACCGCCCGCCTTTCCGCCTCTTGTTTCATGCCGTCGGAGGCAAATCTAGCATATCGTACTGGTCTCATTGTATTCCTGGGATGTCGCATCTCCTCTTCCTCCATCTCAACGACTTGCTCCGACGGAAGGACCCCGCATGATAATATTCCAAACTAATACGCATGTGATCCTCATCGTCGTCCTTGTGATTACCGAGGCTCTCTTCCTTTCTGGTATCTGCTAGTCCTTACCGACGCTTGCAAGCTTGATTGAGGATGGCCGCCTCGGATTACAAAGGCCGCCTCGGATTGAAAAGCATGATCTGTGGGACCCATAAGGAGGAGGCTCCCGCTGGGCCGTGACACCCCGCTGATACGGAACGTTTTGGTCGCGGATGCCCCGCGCAGAACTTGTCCGTGCGACCGCGCGTCCGCAGGATCGCGCCACAGGATCCAAACCTCACACAGGGACGAGACCGCCCGCCCTCCCCTGTTGTCCGCGCGTGCATGCTGGCCAGTTCGCTATAGAGGCGCCCCCGGTTGGCTTGCTCGCTGGTGCTGCTGCCTCAGCGTCGCCGCCAGCGAAACAAGAGGATGGGGATGCGGAGATGTCTGCCGCTCGATCCGGGGAGATGGCTCGACCGCGCTCCCTCGATCGAGCAGGCTCGGCAGCACCGCCTCGCGGGGGACTCTGCCTGGGCAGCGGAGGTATGCTGCGAGGCTGTCGCGCGGCGTGGCCGCGATATTGCGCGGTCTCGTGCTGCTGCTTTTTGAGCTCGGCGGCGAGCGAAGGGGGGAAGTGAGAAGGAGAAGGCCTTCTCAGAAGGTTCGGAAGTCCCCTGGCCTTCTGAGAACTTTTCTAAGCCTTCCCCGAAGACAGAAAAAAAATTCTCAGAAGGCGCGAGGTCTTCTGAGAAGTCCCGCTGCCTTCTGAGAAAGCCTTCTCCTTCCCACGTCCTCCCCTCGCCCGCCGCCGATGAGAGCTGCCTGAACCTCTCTTGGAGGTTTCTGGGGGGCCTCGTGGTTGCCTCTCGATTGGAACACTGGCCAAGGATCGAAAATCAAGGTGTTGGATGGTTTTCTGCCTGTTGTGCCACTCCAGGAGGATCCTCGTCGCCACAGCTGGATCCGCTTCGGAATTCTTGCCGGTACGCGCCCAGGACAGCTCCAGGGGTCGACTCTTGATTCCCAGACCCAGATCCCCTCGCGTCGTGGAGAAAATTGCGGAGAGGTCGAAGGCGGCGCAAGAGTGACCTTCTGCCAGGACGGCATTTGGCGCGGGTCTGCAGGGGTCCCCCGGCACTGGCCCGCGCGCTTGGATCTGGCCGCCCTGCGGCCCCCCAGGGCCGCGCAACACAGGCCCTCCTGGCCAAGGGCCACTCCTGCGCGTGCACCCAGGCATCCACCGATAGGAGTGTTGGAATCCGCGGCCCCAGAGCTACGGACCCCCAGGGGTAGTTGTGCGTCCCCAGGTCCATGTTCGACGGCCCTGGGGCCCGATAGCGGGCCCCGGAGACCAACATCGAGGGAAAACATTCGAGCTGACAAAGATGCGCCAGCAGAGCATCCCAATAACAGCAAAGCATATGTTTGCACACTTTAGCGTAGGGTCTCCAAGGGATAGGGGCGGTCTGGACCAAGAATGCAGCCGGCATTGAGGCGAGAGCAAGATTCTTCAATAGATTGCTAGGCGAAGCGGTTGCCAAACCAGGCGCTCTGGGGCTCCCCGTCGCCCTTGTGGGGCTCTTCTGTGGTCCCTTGAACCCTCTAGCGAAACGCTGCTGAGGAAGCATATTCTCAGAGACCTGGGTAGCCGACGAGCTGCCGAGAGTTCCCCGCCGCGACACCCCTCCCGGCGCGAGGGCGCCCGGGCTTTTCCACGGGGCGGGGGCTCGGGCGTCGAGTGACGGGGGTGCGATCACTGGGGGGGGGGGAGAAATGTGCACCTCTTGTGCCCCAAAGGGCGCCCCAGGGGCACGAAAGGTCCACGCTTCTCCCCCCCGTTACAGTGGGGGCGTTTGTCAAGGAATGTGCCCAGAGGGCTCCAGACCCTGGAGGATTCCTTATCTGATGAGGGCGGCGCTGAGATCCATGACCAAGCCACGGTTGGCCTTCCACCTGCTTCTGGACCCTGGATCCCTTATCCAGGGATTCCTTCCCTAATGCCCTCACCGTAATCAACGCCCGATGGGGCGGACGATCTCTCACCCGCCGCGCCGGGCGCGGTGCGCACGCGCGCGCCCGCCTCGCGCGCGCCCTGGGCTCCAAGACTCGGAGCCCGCGTCGCGCGCGGGCGGGCCGAGGGCATCCGCACATCGCGGCCGGCTTCGAGGAAGAGGGAGCGGCATGAGCTCGAAGCTCGCTGGAGGGGCAGCGAACGCGATCTGTGCTTCTGGGGCGATGGTAGGAGGGGGCAGTGCTCGTGAGGTAAGAGCAAACCTAAGCAGCACAATCGTCAGCAACAGCAGCCCTGAAGGCTTCCAGGAACTGAAAAACGGCATACGTAAAACATGCTCCGCACTTCATGATACGCCCATTGTTCGATGGGCTCCAGATTTCGCGTAAGAAATACGGAGTCTGGATTGGACCCTAGGCATCTTCTTTGAGCTTCTGTTTTCCTAGAACGTTCGTATACACGCCAGTCCTTAAAACTAGGTATTTCTGGATTCCCAGACCCCAAACTACTTCAAGAGCATTCCTGCTTAAATAATCGATATGCGTTTGCTGTTTTTTTTTATATCTCTGGGAGGGCCTGAACCCAGTCTACTTTATCCCTTCTTCCGACCAACGTGCATCTGGACCTGGTCTACTGTCTGTTTAAGACTTCGCTTGGAGTGAAGCCCGTTTCCTTAGCTAAAAGATCGCTTAGCTCTAAGCTGGGGTGTATTCCACATCTCATGATAAAAAGGCAGGTGGCCACAACCCTCCCAGACGAGCAATTTCGGACCCCCCCCCCAGACCAGCCATGCGAGAGCGGCATCTTGCCCAGACCCCGCGGACCCCCCCAGGGCCAGCTCAATTCGGACGCCCCCCCCCCCCTCGCAATGCCATTGTGAGTAAACGCTCGGAGCTCCGCGCGGATCTCTGGGGCCGGCGATCGGGGCCCCCGGGGGCGGCGCCCGAGGCGCGCTCCGCGCGCCAGAGCGAGGAGGGCGAGGGTCGCGCCGACCGGGTCGCGCCGACCCGAGAAGTCCGCGCGGACCTGCGCGATGTGATGCTCCTGCCGCTCCCTCCCTCTCCAGCGGCTGCGGGCCCCGCGGGGGCCGGAGCGCCGCTGGGGTGGGGCAAAAAGGCCCTGCGCCGCACCGCCGCCGGGGTCCGAGCAGGCGGGGACGGAGGACCGCGCCGCAGCGACGAGGCATCGGCGATGCGGCTCCACACGGAGCCCCCCACGCCGACGTCGCTGATGCATCGCCGACGTCGCCGATGCATCACCGCCTTGGTGATGCATCGACGATGCAGCGCGAGCCTCCCACCCCATCTACTCTGACCCCATCTGGGAGGCCTCCAGAGTCAGAGGAGCAACGGGGGGTCGCGGTAACGGTGCGTCCCCGAGATGGCCCAGTCTTCCCGTCGTCCCGCGCGGCCAGGGGGCGAGCGGCCGAGTGCGGGCGAAGCCGAGGCCTCGCCAGAACCCCCAGAGCTTCCGCGGCGTGCCCCGAGCCAGTCGCTCAGCCGGCAGGTACGGTAGGTTCGTGTCGTGTCGACCGGCGGCGACCCCGCCAGCGGCGTTCAACGTTTTGAACGCCGCGGGCGACCCAGAATCGTTCGATGTGGAACGATTTGGACGTTTCGGAAACGGTCGATCGTTCAAGGTTGAACGATCCCCGCGGTGTCAGAAACCAACGCCGAAGTCGGCACGACACGAACCTGCCGTAGCGGGGTTCAGCGCAGATGGGGCTCAGCCATCGAAAAACGAAAGGTTACATAAACATAGGAGCTCCGCGCGGGTTTCTTACATCAGGGCTGGGCCCCCCCTGGCGGCGCCTCCAGCGCCGCCCCACGCTCTCCGCGCGCCAGGGAGGAGGGACCAGCGCCGATCCAAGAAATCCGCGCGGACCTCCGAGAGTTTGTGTTTGTGCTGTTGTTGCTCCTCGAAGCCAGGGCCCCGGATCCTGCAGGATTCTACAGGGCCGGATCTGGGCTGAGCCGAGCGTGTGGGAGCCTCTCGCGGCCTTGGAGGTGGCCTTAAAATACTGGTTGGGCCCAGTTTGGGCAGCGCCCAAATATGTGTCGAGAGCGTCTCCAAGAGGGGGTGATGACTGGGGGACACATGGCTGGGACCATGGTACCTCCCCAGATCTCATGGCTCATTTCTAGTATTTCAGCACGGCCCGCCGGCCTCCCCCCGGGCCGTGCACATGCCCTGGGCCAGGCTTCGCGAGCAGGCGCCCCTTTCTTGGACGCCCCCGAAACTGCAGCGCAGCTGCTCCTCCGTGGGCCCGAATCGCATCATGGCACTGGTCTGCGTCCCGTCCTGTGCGAGGGGCCCGGGCATCCGGCGCCTCGAGCAGGGTCGAGGCGGACGCGCCGGTTGTCGGCTTCCTGCCTGCGTGGCTTCTGGGGGCCGGTGGTCGGGCCTCGCAGAGGCCAGCGGAGGGACGACGCTCGGGACGAGGGAGGCCGGCCCCCCGGGGGGGGGGCGGGGCCGAGCGGCCTGCGGGCCCGCGCATCGAAAGGATCGGACCGCCAGGTGTCTGGGCGGAAGGTGGAGGAGGAGGAGGAGGAGGAGGAGGAGGAGGAGGAGGATGAGGAGGAGGAGGAGGAGGAGGAGGAGGAGAGGAGGAGGAGGAGGAGGAGGAGGAGGAGGAGAGGAGGAGGAGGAGGAGGAGGAGGAGGAGGAGGAGGAGGAGGAGGGAGGAGGAGGAGGAGGAGAAGGAGGAGGCGGAGCCTTCAGGGGTCGTGGGCGTCGTTGTGGTCGACACAAGAAAACGGGATCGTCTTCGCCGACATTTCTCGCGAAAGCTGCCCGCGTGAACTCGCGCGTAAGCGCCCTTGTCTCCATTGTGGCGTGCCGCGCGGGCGGCCCGCGTGAGTCGCGGCGTTAAGGTCGCTGTGCTACCTCGCGCAAGACACGTTTTTTATCGTCGCTCAGGTGTCTGGGCGGGAGGTAGAGCCCCTTCAGGAGTCCTGGGCGTCGCGGACGAGATCGCGAGGCGTCTAGTTTATACACGCTCTCGGCATCTGGGGTGCAGCTCCGGGGCCCCTTGGGGCGGTCACAGGAACGGGATGGAAAGCAAGTCCTGGAGCAGGAGTTGAGAGCTTCGCAAGCCCACGTCACGACACAGGTGCGGAGCAGATGGGGTCGGAGGATCGTGCCGCATCGACGATGCATCGGCGATGCAGTTCGATGTGGAGCCTGATTTGCTTCACGCCGACGTCGCCGATGCATCGCCCACGTCGACGGTGCATCGCCAGTGCATCGCCGATGCAACGGCGATATATCACCGATGCATCGCCGATATATCAGCGATGCGGCGCGATCCTCCGACCCCATCTATTTCGACCCCATCCAGAAGACCTCTAGTGGCGTTGAAGAGGGAGTTCAGAGGAGAAGGATCTCCAAATGTTGATGTCGGCCCTCTGTTGGGGCCTGGGGGTGCGTCTGAGCAATGTAGACGAGACACAACCGGCGTCAGATTCAAAGCTGGAGGCCCGAAGCCCCCTGGAAACTACAGACCAATAGCCATCATACCACTACTACGCACATTGATGTCTCGATTAGTGTGCAACCGACCTGAGGCGAACCTAGAGTCTGACCAAACGCCTGACCAGGCTGGCGTCCGCAAAGGGTTCTGCACGGAAGACATTTTTTAAACCGCGACCTTGTTGCACGAACAGTCCTACGAGTGGCAACTCCAATTATGGTATACCGCGACCGACTTTAAGAAGGCATTCGATGACGTCAACTACGAACACCTCTGGAGAGCACTCCAGAACGTACCAGGACCATAGATTTTCGTATCGCAGAAATTATATTGCGAGCAGGTCTCCATAGTGAGGACTGACGTCAGCAGCAGAGATTCAACAATCAACGCAGAGTCGAACAGGGTGACCCACTCAGCTCCTATCTTTTAACACTGTGCTCGAGTACGTTTTCCAGCAGGCCCAACCTTCTTGGGAACGCAGGGGGTTTGGTACACAATTGGAAAATTCCAGGTTTACCCGACCCATCAATGTTAACCAGCGTGGGCCTCACAAAGGGTGTTTTGAGCAAGCTACGTTGTGCAAAGCAGGTGGTGCAATCTATCCGGTGCAATATTTGTGGTGCAATCTATGTTATGCAATTGACTACCCTGCACCGCGCTTGACTACTCCACTGCTCGCGCAAACATCCCACCCACCCACCCGCAACTTGGTTCGCAAAATCTCTTAAGACCGTGACGGTGGGTACCAAACGGCACTTGCCAACGACAGCGACGCCGACGACGACAGCGACAACGACGACGACGACGCCGCCGACAACGACTACGACGACACCGGCGACTCCAACGACTTCGACGACGACGACGACGACACCGACGACGACGACGACGCCGACGCCGACGACGACGACGACGATGACAACGACGACGACGATGACGACGCCGACGACGACGACGACGACGACGCCGACGACGACGACGACGACGACGTCAACGACGACGACGACGACGACGACGACGCGGCGACAACGACGACGCCGACAACGACGACGAAGACGACGACGACGCCGACGCCGACGACGACGACGAAGACGACGACGACGTCGCAAACGAAGACGACGACGAGGGAGGAGGGAGGACGACGACGGCGACAACGACAACGACGACAACGACGAGGGAGGAGGGAGGACGGCGACGACGCGAACGACGAAGAAGGAGGAAGGACGGCGACGCCGACGACGGCAACGACGAGGGAGGAGGGAAGACGACGACGACGACAACGACGACGACGACGACGGCGACGAAATAGGAGGGACGACGACGAGACGCCGACGACGGACGACGACGACGACGAGGGAGGAGGAGGAAGGACGACCACGGCGACAACGACGACGGAAACGACCACGACGCCAAAGAGGACGACGACGACGAACACGAGGAAAGACAGAGGACGACGTAGGCGACGACGACGACGACAACGACGCGGGAGGAGGGAGGACGGCGACGACGACGACGACGACGACGCAAGAGCGCGCGCGCACGCTTTTGTTGAAAATCCGTGTGCGAAACCTTTGGTTTTTGTAGGTTTTTTGGACGCGCGATTTCGAAATCCTTCCGAAACCGACGGGTTTTGAAGGATTTCGGCGTACGCGCGCGACCACGCGCGCGTCTGCACTTCGTCCTATTTTGTTGCAGAGGATTTTCGCGACGGTACACGCGCAAGGTCGTTCGACAGATTTCGACATGCGCGCGCGCGAAGCCCGTTTGGTAGCATTTTGTGAAAATCTTGAAAAAAAAAAAAAAAAAAAAAAAAAAAAAAAAAAAAAAAAAAAAAAAAAAAAAAAAAAAACTTATGGTTTTCTTAAGATTTCGCAAGAGCTCGCGCGGAAGTTTTTTTAGCAGATCAGTGTTGCGAAACCATGTGTTTTTGTATGTGTTTTAGAATCTCGATTGCGAAATCCCTCCGGCGCCGAAGGTTTTTGAAGGATTTCGGCATGCGCGCGCGACGACGCGCGCGTGTGCACTTCGTCTCAACTATTGCAAGGGAATTTGCGAAAAAGTGCTACATTAGAACAAAAAAAATCACCGCATAGTGTTTTTTTACAAGGGACCCTAAGGGGGGGGAAACCGGCCTGCCTGGGATGGTACGATTTCATACTTAGGATGGACGGGTGTGCAGAATATATATATATATATATATATATATATGATTTTATATAATCCCAGGGGGAGCTGATAAGTCCGGGGGGGGGGTAGAGTCTATTTTTAGAAAGGAGAGTCTTCGCGGCGCAGTGAAATTGGAATGGTGCAATTTACCTCGTGCAACCTCTGTTGTGCAATCTCTGTTGTGCTACGGGGTGCGATATATGTGGTGTATGTAACCCACGCGGTGCTATATTTATACATATGTATATATATATATACATATATATATATATATATGTATATATATATATATTTAATTATATATGTATATGTACATATACGTTGCACTATACATGGTGCCCTGTATGTGGTACCATATATGGTGCCCTGTATGTGTTGTGCAATAGAAATATACATATATAAAAACCATGTTGTGCAAAAACGGTATGCAACATATGTCGTGCATTGTTTGTGATACAATCTTTGTGGTGCAAAC